AGCTTTTCATGTTTGGCCTAAACCTTGTGTAATTCTGGGGTAATTTTGTGTCAGCACCTTATCTTGGTCCATGGTGCTGTTTGGAGGAGCCTGGCAGCAGGCTGGGGCTCCACACCAAAATACAATGGAACTCCAACATTTTCCTGTGTCACAATGATCCAATTAAAATCCTAACTTAAATCCAATCTAGAATCCATAACAACTTAAAAATGAATGTTCATTGACACTGCCTCCTGCAGTGGAAAGAATTAAATACTATCAATGCTTCAGCGGTCGCACCATCACTGATGACGGATGGTGTCTTTGCTGTTGTTTACTCAGTTGGAAACAAACCGCAGATTTACAAACCTCTTGTATTCTTGTATGTGTGTCTCTGCAGTTGTACTTTGTGTACTGGGACATGTCCAACTGTTTGAGGACACTGTCTGATACTTTAGAGGAGCTCAGCTTTGTGGCAGATGACACCCAGGTGAGAGTCGAGTACATCTGTCATTCTTCTGCTGTTTTATTAATTTGTCTGAAGTTCCAGCAGAGACATGAGCTAGAATAGAGGGCGAGTCCTTGTGGTTTCAAGCCCTGTGTCAGAACAATCAAATCAGTCCGTTTCTTCTCAGAAAACCATGAAGAGCAGAATGTCACATCTCGTCTTGGTGATGGAGGTCCCTCCCATAGACCCCGAGGCCGCTGTTTCAGAAGTTGAGCAAGACTGTGATGAAAACAAACCTCTGCTAAGAAATGAGGACACAAGAAGCAGTACATCTTCCAGCCAGCAGGGGGCCCCAAAGGTCACTTCTAATTACAGCCTTGTTCCTGAAGCTTTACTACCTGCCCAGGTGAGAGGCCAGGATGTTTGTGACTGCTTGGTAATATTATAAAACTATTGTTACCTTTATAAGAGATAAAATAATACAGTCTAGGTTTGATCAACTCTCAGGCTCTGATTGATTCAAATCAATTTATTACATTTGATGTATGTGATTTATAGCTAAAGAGAGGTGAGTATCCAAAAATTGAAAACAAATCAGAGTGACACTAGTTAAGCATAGTTTTATTAAAGCCACATTAAAGAGGAGCCATTAATAAAATTACTCAATATGGTAAAAAAAAGCAACTCATGGTAACATCTAATGTACTGTTTACAATAAAACATAAGTACCAGTCTGTATCTAAAATAAAAAAAAGTAAAACCATAAGAATAACATAATTACATAATTATCAAGATAACATTTATGAAACTAATACTTACAGTAAACATAACATCTTAGAGTGTAAAGTATGTCCAGTAAAAATATCTATTGTCGATTAAGTTGATCTTGAAAAGCAATAGAAGGTTTAGCAGATAGAAAGTAAAGCTTGGTTCTAAAAAGTAAGGTAAATTCAATGTGTGTCTGGAGTATTTTTGTATAAAACAAATGAAGTTATTCCCAGTGGGTGAGAGTAGCCTGATTAGTTTGTTCAAGAGCACCAATACTTTAGAATAACATTACTGAGATAAAAGTATGGTGAAGTTAGTCTATTCCTGAAAGAATATTTCAATATATGTTTACTTAAAAAAGTCTGTCCAGTAAATGTTTCTAAGTTATTATAAATAGTTATCACTCACCTCTTAAACTAAGTCCATCTATAGGAAAAAAAAAAAAAAAAAGCAAAAGGAACTGATTGCATGTACATTACTTTCTGTGTAAAGTAGTACTTTATTCCCAACAACTACTCTGTGGGTTTTAACCTAAAAGGCAAAATCTATTAGAGATTGAGAAGTAATTTTTGGTAATCTTAATTAACTTAAAAGAGAAAAGGTTTACAATTATTTAAATGTCCCACATTGATTGCATGACTTATGCATTGCATGACTTAAATGGAAAAATGAATGACTGCTGGTTGCATTACTGCTTTTTACAGGGGGGTTTGAATCCCTGTGATAGACTGCTATGTCCAGGGTGTACACAAAGGCCTTTTGGAGATATTAATGAAATAAATTAAAGCCCAAAATTAATGTTCTTAATGACCATGGTGGATGTTTAATAGAACCTTGTTGTATTTGTGTCTTTATTCCAGGCAAAAGCATACCAACTTCTGATGACGTATAGCGCAGCTTATGTGAAGCTGCTTGTATCTGAGAGGCTGTCGGGGCCAACCCATCATCGTCTGAGGCCCCTGAGGAATCACTGCACCATGGCTCCCCTCTGCCTCTGCCAGTACGTTAAGAAGAAAATCCTTCAGTAAGAAGAAAAATCACACACAGGAACCTGGATTTAGTGTTGAAGGAAAACAGAGAAACAAAGACTGGACAGCATCTGTTCTTCCAAAGTAAATATAGATTTAGGTTATTTTTATTTACTAATTATGGTTTTTGGGCTGTAATACTTGGATTCATTTAGCTGGGCTGCTGATTTTCTGCCAGCTATGTGTTTGTTCCACCTGGATGTTAATTTGTTCGCATTGAGCCAAATGCTGTCAACATTCAGCCCAACTGCTGGAAAACAATATTTATAATTGTTTATACAGAACCATCATGACCATATTTACTACATTGTGTCGTTTAAATTATTCGTACCAATGATATTATGTAGCGCTGTTTGATTTAATGTTCTGTATAGTAAACTGCAGAGAGGATGCTCTGGGTCTGAGGTCTTCACTTGCAGGACTGATCTTTTTTTCTTACACGTCATAAAGGGATGAACACACACAATATGTATGGATACCATGTTAGAGGCATTGCTTCAAGTGTGTACTCTTGATCCGAATGTTGAAAAATACCTTCTTTTTTGTATCAGAACTTATTAAATATCAAATGTTTTTTTATTTAATATTTAAAATACTTTTGTACTCATCTTAGTGTTTGATATTATTATAAATTATCAAATAGAGACAACATGTTTTCCCACTGTGGTTCATTAGAAAAAAAATGATTTTAAACCTAGCCCAACATAAAAAAAAAACTATTCACCTGTTACAGCTTATAGCTTGTGCTAAATTAAACAACAATTTCACCCCGAATATGTTCAGAAAAATAACAAAAGTGCTTCAATAAGAAATTCATGAAAAACACTCAAGAGAGTGCAAGAAACATTTTTTTTGTACAACATAACCTTAGAGGCATTAATGCTGATACTGGTGCTTAATTTTTTTTGTTTATAGATCCTAAATATGATTGTTAACTAGGATTATTAACTTTTTAACTTTACTATTTAACTTTTCAATGAGCTTTTTACCTTTTTTCTTGATTTAACTTTTTTTCTCAACTTAATTTACGGTAGATAATATATCATTCAAGAGCTCATCTAATTGGTCAAATGCCAAAATAAGATGTACAGCCATCTTGTGATTCTAGACCTCACTGAGGTAAGTAATCAAAAATGGTAAGTTTCTCTATAAAGGGATGACTGGAATTTGACATTTAAAGAAAAAAAAAGATAGATTAGAGTGATAATAAGGGGGATTAGCGGCAACCTGTTTCTGCAGAATCACAGATGGCCATTTAGCTTCCTGAGGTGATCCTCCGTCTGTGAGATCGTTTAACTTGGCCTCACGCTGCACGCCTCTATCCTCCATCACACGATCTCAGCTTCCCCTGGGTTAGCCTTGCTGGATGCTCGCTGTGTGTGTTTGTCTCATCCTGCTGCACCCATGTCGGGCTGCAATCTCAGCTGCAACATCAGGGTCTGATGATGGATGGAGGCTGGAAACGTTTCAGGGAGTTGGGAAGAAAATGTCCATGCAGAACTGAAAATGGTGGTTTACCTTCAACGAAGAACAATCCCCATTATTGTAAAAGTTTGATTAATTAACTAAATTTTTAAGTAATGCTTATTTTTTTATTTTGATTTATGAATTACCCAGGTATAAAAAAATATATTTCTTCAAAGGATGAACCATTTTTGCTTCCAAAAACAGCAAATAAACTATTAATATTTAAAATTATTCTACAGGCATGTTATTACTGTCTTAAAACAAACTTCCTGAAAACATAAAAAATATCAGTTTGACATAAAACTGTATATGCAGCATTAAACTGGCTCAGTGTTGGGAGGGTGTGTTACAGGGTGATGTGAAATATTAGATTTCTGCCAACTTTGGTTGTGGACCAAAATGTTTGGTTTCACTCTGATCATTCCAAAAAAAAGAAAATTAAAAATAATCCACTGGTTTTTGTTTCCAAGTTTGAAGATGTTTCACTTCCCATTCAGGAAGCTTAATTCAAAATGTCAGGAATAGCGTTGAATGTGACTGACGCTTATCGGGCCAGAAGACCTTTATCTTGCAAACATACTAATGGTTTGATGTTGACAGATTCTCTCTGCTGCTACTGTACTAATTTATTATGCTTCTTAGTCATTTCTCTGATAAAGGTTCTTCTTCTACAATAGTAAGCACAGGTCCAGTTTCAGAACTTAATTCTGCTCTTCACACCCTCACCAGTGGCTCCTGTTAACATTGCCTGCAAATGGCCAAGGACTTAGCAAATATTTAAATTTAATAATAAAAATTCAAGTTTTGTGAGTTTTAATGTTATATCTTTCACCTCCTAATGGCATTTCTCAAAACAGAAAGACCTTTGTAATTAAGCAACAAACTGCTTTTTTGCTTGATTTTTTAAAAATCCACAGAATGTTATTATTGTTACTATTAGAATGTTACTATTAGGAATATGAATGACTCTTTTTGTTGCATCCTTTCAAAATGGGTAATCTTCAACAAAAAAGCAAAAAGCTTGCATTTTCAATTCTAATGGTTTTGCCTGCAGTGGAAGAGTTTGGGGGAAGATAATTATATTTTCTGTGGTGCAGAAATGTCAGCCGCTGCAAAATAAATACCCACAAGACCTCATGTGATTAAACAGAAGATTGTGAGAGCTTCTGTGTATCATTCTCCAACAGAGAAGGGAGGAAGAAAAAACCGGGGCAACTATAAATAGCATCTTAGTGATGAGGGAGAGAGGAGATGCCACAGTGACAGAGAGGATCGAGAGGTGATGCAGAAACCAGATACCAAAGATTTCCTTCACAAACCAGAATTATTTTATTCGTTACTCAAACAACTGAAATCGGAAACAACCAATGCATGTGCAACACAGCCAAGAACATGAGGATGATAAACCCCCTACATGTACACAAGGTAGTTTTTGGCTCTTTAAACAAGCAAATCCCTTAAAAACTTAAGATAATGACAGAAACAGGGGATCATCTTGGTGCTGTAGCACAAACAGCTGCAGTTATTGTAAAGCACATGGAGAGTCGCAGCCTAATGCCACATAATAGAAGTCTCTATATTCAGCAGACACACACTCACTGCCAGAGCCTTCTGCACAATAATACTAAACAGCACTGTGCCTCAATTACGCTGGAACACTAAATATCATCGTATAATTAAAGGGCCTGAATTTATCAAACAGAAAAATTTGTATTTGCATTAAGAAATACATTTACACCTGTTCACTACAACTTTGATAAGTATGTTTTATATCATTTTTTGACATTTATTGTTTGTTATTCTATTTGGCCTTGTTTCAGACAGTGACACCGTTGCTAAGCTATTGTAGCTCCAACTGTTAGCCTTGCACCAGCCAGTCTTCTATGAAAAAAAGTAATGAAATAAATCTGCAAGCTCTAATATGCTGACCATAAGATACCACACATCTTCAATATGTAGAAAGCTAAAAACAAACAAAGAGGTGAAATAAGGCAAGGTAAAAATCTGTTCTGAGAGTGTAAGGCCAGCCATGCGCCATTTCCAGGCTTGTAACGAAAGCTAACATGTATAACCTCAATTTAAGACGGAGCTTTTCTTTTTGGTTGGGTTTTTCTTATGTTCAAAGAAAAATATTCTACAGATTTGAAATGCACTTATGTTAAAGAATAGAGACATTTCAGGTGCAAGAGCTTTGAAGTGGATGTTGTCAATTTGTGCAGACTGAATTTCAATGTTAAACTTGAAAAAACAGTTTCTAATCTAGATGAATCTAGATGATAACATTTTATTTAGGGGGGGGAAGTCAACTTTTTGTTTATTTCTTAATTTATTAGACTTCTTAGCATTCTTAAACTGTTAGCTCCAGTAAAACGGTCTGCCATGTTTGACGGTTGCCTCGTAGATCATTTAAAAACTGACCCATAAAATCTACGCAGATATTAGGTATACAGTGCTTTGAAAATATTTTTTCTCCTTCCATGTCTTTTGTTATCCCCTATTATTGCATTTAAATATTTCTGCAAGATATACATTTTAGGTATAAAACAAATCTTCTAATTGTTTCATTCCATTTTAAAGGGGGAAAGAGCTTTTCAAATCAATTTAGCCATATATGAAAAGGCAACAAAACCTATTACCTGGTTATTTTACATCTGGATACAGATGAGCATTAGGGCCATTTTACAAAACCAAAAACAAAACGACCAATCAAGAAAAAAAAAGGTTATTTAATTATGACTTTATTTTCAGATTTCAGACTTAAATCTCAGAATTAAAAGTCAAAATAATTAGAAGTATACCAACAAAGCCCAGGGTTGTCACTTTGATAAGGGAGGAATATAAAAAATAGTCATAATTCTATGAGAATAATTTGGATTAAAATCAGAAATAAAATAAAAAGTCAGAGTTCTGAAAATAAAGTCTGATATCAAAATCATTTTTGGCTTTCTCTTGTAACTTTTTTTTTAATGGCCCTAATCCTCTTCCATACCTGGTAGCAACAGCTGCCAACAAGGTTTATAATAACTGGAAATTAGTAAAATGTTATATTCAGTTAAAAACATTTTTCAGTCAAACCAAGTGCTGATTACTGCCTGACCTGTTGAATCAGGAAAGCACATTAATAGCCGCCTGACAGCATGAAGCAGTCTTAAGAGTCACTGCTGATTCTGTGTAATTGAATCTTTAGCTGAAATTAGTGTGTTAAAAATTTTATCTGTGTAGAGTTCATTCTTTAAAAGGAAAAACGGGTCCAGAATAGCTGCCTTTTTCCAGGAATAAAGGCTGCAAATGTGATAGTCATTAGATATATCTCCCTTAAAATCTGAGTAAAAATATGTTGTTCTGGACATTTCTTAGAAGAGAGGCACATTTTTTTTTAAGTGATTGGAAAGTAAAACAAATTAGTAGTTTGTTAGACAACCTCAAACTGTGAAAATGCTAGATGAGACTTCAACTTATGGGGATATTTCTTATTATGGCATCCACCTTATGCATTACATATTAGGGATAAATAATATGTTCTAATATTTTTAAGAGGTCCTGTTGCCTAATTTTGCAAGGGAACCACCAATTTAAGGAAATTTTAAGGCTGACATTTTAAAAAATACTTTCTTTTTTTTTTTTTTTTTAACCAGAAATATTGAGGATGAATTTAGACCAATCAGGTGCCAGACGTTTGTCAACTCCGTGCAGATGGGAGGCAGTTCTTCCTGTCTTTTGGTAGATGTATGAACAAATGTATTTTTTATTTTCAATAGAACGGGTCTAAATTATGATACATTTTCATAAGTGAAAATAAAAAATATAAAAAAAATCTTTAAGTGCAACTCACTTTTGCCATTATTACAAACATTTGTGGTTTCACTATGATGAAATGAGGAGAAGCTGTTTTCTAACCGACATGAGCCAGTGATTAGAGATTAAAAAAGAAAAAAGTCTAAAGCAATAAAGATGCTGAGTATATTAATCTACTGTAAGAAGTAGTTGATTTTTCTAACCATATTGGAAAGAACAAACTACTTACACGACTCCTAGGGATAAAAAATAAGTTCTACATAAACTCACAACTTATTTTATAAAAGAATAACTCTTCCTTTTTAAAGAATTACTTTACACCTAAAGGGTAAATCCTTGTTTCTGATTAATAAATGAAGGCCCAGTTGTACCCAAATATACAAAATATAACACATAGGCATTAATAATACTGTTAATTACAAACCACAGCATATATCTTTTTAAATACTATCTGTAAATTTATAGAACTCTGTAATATTTTCTAAAGCATCTACATCAAAGGAAAAAGCAAAGATATGTCATAGGTCCATTGATCAGTAAATGGGGACTCACAGGGAGGGATATCGTTTTTCATAGAGCAGAAAGTGCTACAACACAATTTAGGCAATATTGTTTTTCTCTCTTTTACTGGAAACATTCAATTTCATAACCCCCTGAAACCTCAGATAAAAGTTCATACTGCGACTTCAAAGCCACGTTACTTCTCAGAGACAACAGCACAGCTGCTGTTCAGAGCTACATTGTAGGAACCAGATGCACACATCTATCCTTAATACTTAGGACAAATGGAAAACAAACTGAGGATGACATGCAGGGTTACGTTACCTCATATTTCTACTGCTGCACTAAGAACAGAGTCTTAGAGGGTAAAATAGCATAAGATCTGCCACAGAAAAATACTAATACTTGTCTACATTACTTGCAAAAAAGAATATCTGTAGATCTAATATGCATATTCTTCTTGACTAAGTCTCTCTATCTTTACAAGATTAGCTTGTTTACCATTTTGGAAAATACTGCATCGCAAAGCCATTGAATATTTTAGGAAATGCTCCCATCCGTTGCTGGCAACACAGGTACTTTTGCACTAAAAGCCCATTAGCCTAGATTTATATTCATCATGCACTATAAGATCTATAAATGTAAACAGCTGTGTCATTTTATCTGGATACTACAAAGTGCCATGTCATCATTATCACCACAAGGTATTAACATTAAGCCAATTAAGGTTATCAGATAGCTGGAAAAACTCACTATATACTACAGCAGAAGGGTCGTAATTAAATAATGAAGAATGTAAATCAAAAGCATATTATTTAAACAGAAAAGGTACAGTTTATATTGGAAGTTTTTTTATCCACTATTCATCATAGAAATTGATCAAATTTTTCTGACAGACGCTCACTTCACACCCAGCAAGCAGGTGTACAGAGCTATTAGAAAGTATTCACAGCCTCTCACTCTTTACTCTATATTTTGTTGTCTAAATCTAAACATAGATTAATGAACTTTTTTTTATCTACAAAAAGAAGATAATAATGGCAAACAAACATCAATTCAGACATTTTTCTGAATTTCTAAAGAAACTGCCCTTTGGTTTGACCACTGGCCCTCCTTGAGCTCCTTCTACATCTTGATTTGAGCAAACATGATAGCAGGAGCACACACGTCCTTACAAGGTCCTCCCCTTGACAGTGCTTATCAGAGCAGAAACTAAATAATGAAGACAAAGCAATCGCCTGGTGTCTCCTACACCAGGCTGTATGGGCAAAAATGAGGGGAAACAGAAAGAAAAAATGCATCAAAATACCCTGAAGAGCACAAGGTCTCCATTATACAGGAATGGAAGCTGTTTGGACGATTTTTTGACTTAGCCTCTAAACCAAACTCAGTAGTTAGTGCCAGTGAGGTGAATAAAAAAACTAAGAGTCACCTAAAGAGGTTGTGAACAATCAATAACGTTACTTCATTAATTAGGCCGCTATAGTGAAGTGGTGAGATAGGAAACACTTTATGTAAAGTCACATGACAGCAGGCATAACTTTGGCAAAAAAAAAAACACTTTGAAAACTACCAGGCTAAACAATGTTCTCTGGTCTGTTTAAAAAAAAATTTAAAAAATTTGCCTTGAGCTCCAAGCATCGTGACTGGATAAAAACAGGTGGCCTAGTGTTTAGGGCATAGAGCTTGGAATCCTGAGGTTGTGAGTTCGAAAACCTACTTCCACAGACTGCCAGTATGAGCAAAGACGATTAATGCTCCCTGGGCACCGCAAATGTCAGCCCACTGGTCCCCAAGGGGATGGGTTAAATGCAGAGAGTGAATTTCTTTGTGCTGTACTTGTGACGGTATGACAATAAAACACTGGAGTAAAAACGGGCCTTGCTCATTGGCTGGCTAACACCATCCAGAATATAGAGCATGGTGGTGAAAGCATCATGGTGTGGGGATGCTAATCTGCAGTAGTGCTGTGGACTAGGGTGAAAATTCATCTTCTAGCACAAATATAAAAAGCAAAAAGGTATATGGCTAATACCTTTACAACTTTATGCTTAAGTTTTTTCTATAAATGAAATAAATGTCTGAAAACATAATTTTTAAAACTGTCATTATTGGTTATTCGGTGTAGAAGTTTTAAAAATCAGAATCATACTTAACTTGATTTTTTTTTAATGAAGGGGTGTGAATACTTTCTGGTGATCTTAGATGTTTATATGTTTGGACAAATTTGTCTTCTAAAAGGACAAACTTGGGTTAAATATGCATCTTCAACAAACCTATTTATGCAGTTCACATAAGGGACAACCTAAGGTCCATCCAATCTGAAGCTCAATGTTCAACCCATTTCCTACCAGAATGGGTCCTCTGTTTAAATGTTGGCTGGATATCTGTAGGTATGAATGTCTACCGAGCAATTCTTCATCACAATTTAGAACCCTATAGCAAAAAAAAAAAAAAAAAAAAAAAAAAAAAAAAAAAAAAAACATTTCTAGAAAAGCGTGTTATACATATCAGATGTATTACACACGCTGCAGGGGCTACATGTGCATTTGTATATGTGAATAAATAAAGGTGGTGGGTCCACTGAAATAATAAACACAGTGACTTGTTTTTAATTTCAATGCATCAATGAAGGCTGCCTTAATTACCAGCAGACAAATAAATCATGAATACAAGAAGGCTTGTCTGCATCCTGGAGCTCCTACTTTTAATATGAAAGGAAATATGAAGTGGTCACTCTAGACCCATTTAAAAAACTGCTTGCTATTTTTGGTCATTAGTGGGTGTTTGATAGAAACAGGTTAGGTCTTTAAACTGTGTGGGTAGCTATACAGAAAGGGCCAACAAGCAGAAACGGTGCATTTTCCTCCTACTCCCCTCCTCACCAAATGATTGAGAGAAGTTAGCTAGATAATATTTAGACATAGTGGCTTCCCATCAGGGGATCAGGACCAGTTAGGGGTCCCAGTCGTCGTCGTGATGCTGCGAGGCTATGATGACTACCACGGTAAGGATGGTGCACAGCACAAGGGAGGCAATGCCCACGGCCAAGCTGATGAAGGAGAAGTTGCGAGCCTCTCGGGAGGCTATTTCCGCAGTCACCATGTCCCCTCGAGCTATTGCCATGCGCACCTGAGCAGTGAACAAAAAGAGAAGAAAAATGAGCAAACATGTTGCATAACGAGACGATTGCATGAGTGGGAGCCAGACAGACCCCGCATCACCATGTATGGATCGATTTCACTGCAGCGCAGGCTACATGTTCAGGAAGAGGCGGATGCACGCAACGCAAACAGTGCAGTGACACATACTGTACAGCTCGGACCAGCGCCTCCCTGCCCTGTCAGCTCAGCTCAGCTCAGAGCCAGCTGAGCGGGCCCAGAGGACAAAATCCATTCTGTCCCGTTGCACTGACAGTGGTGCAGTTACGTAACGTGGCATGTTGAGTGCATGTTGGTCAGCACGGTTTACCGTCACACACATAAGACAACAGGACTCATTAAGTGTGAGAAGAGCCACCAAGAGGACCTTTGACACGTTTGACGCCGCTGCACATGGCCTGCACACAAGCCATGCCGGAGAACAAAATTCATCCTCTCTAATCTCAGTCCAGGCAATCAGTTTTATGTTGAGGATTTTATGAAGATTATTCTAAAGCTATTTAATGATAACCTCTTCAGACTCAACAGTTGACTCTACCTGATGTTTCTCAGAGCTTTACTTATTTTATCTGCAGCTCTCTACAACTTTTGAATTTCTTTATTTGCATTCAACAAGCAGATCATTGGGTTCATGCTCCCAGAAATCGGGATCAATTTTAACAGATCCTGACTGCATCTGCTGGAGCTAATCAGGAGCAGAATTACCAAATATGGGAGGTCATAATTTGATGGGTGGGGTGATGTTTTATTATCATGCTATAGGGATATCCTGTAGGGTGAAGATATTGGAGTCTTGACGTCAGCTGGACAAAACATGGAAACAATCAAAGAATGTCTATATTTTCCATCTAAAACTCCCTAATCCATTTAATTTTTCTTTATGGGCTTTGCTTTGTGGCCTAAAATGTTTCACAAGCAGGAAATATCAAATTCACCAAACTGTTTTGGAAAACTGATTTATTTTTGAGGGTGAAATCATTCCAACATAAAACTACATCAAGAAAATGAGTTTTACCTTCACTGCCTTGATTATGGCAATTATGCCTGTAGGCCAGAAGCAGCATACAGTGGTGAGCACGGCGATGGGAAGGTAGTCATGAGGCGGCCGGCGGTCCATTAGGGTGATGCTGGGGGGCATCTGCATGGGGTGAATCTGACCTGGGGGGATCCCTGGGTGAGTTCCTCCCGCTGGCATGTAGGGTTGACCCTGAGCAGACGGGAACATAGAGGGGTTAGATGTTTAAATCAGAAGCTCAAACATGCTTTTATGCAAAAGAAAGACACTTTAGCTTTTTTTTTTTTTTTTCAAACAGCAAAGTCATTTTCACTTACCGATGGCTACATAAATCAGCTCTCATTTAAAACTTATAGCTATTGAATTACAACCTTCAAATTTTAATAAATGACTTTGTCCAAACTGTCTACCATTTGATGATATATCTGCCTCTTGCAGAGAGACATGTCCTCAGCTTAGTCTTTGAATTTCTAAACTGCATGTTTAAGCCTTATTGAGATTCTTGTGCAGCATACCCAGAAATGTAAAAATAGCCGAGGTTATTTCATGAGACTGCAGATAGCCTCCATGATGATCACGATGCATTGCAGATTCTCCCAATGTCAGGTTCTTAGGATTCAAATCACTTTATTCATGATATTTCTTGACTGATTTTAATTCTTCAAAAGTAATTATCTGTTCAATTAAAACACAACACAGCACATAAAGACTTTAAAAAAAATCACAGTAAACTGGGGTTAAACAAAGTGAGGCAGACCAAAATTAACCATCACTGTTATTATGGTTTATAAAATGAAACACGGCTCTGAGGCTGCCAATGCTGCAGCCCAGATGGTTCACTTTAAGGAATTTAAAGAGTCCTGAGACTCCCAAAAAATCTGTTTGCTGATTAAAAGAAGGATTAGATAAACTCAAGAAATCTAAACAAAAATATTACTGCTGAGAATATATATTTGCTATAATTTCCCAAGAGATAAAAGTAGTTGTCAGAAATTTATAAGTAGACTTGGTATTGGTGATCCAGACAGTTTTTGTTGTCACTATGCATTCACATTCCCTCCCTTCCTAAGTATGTTTTCACACACTGTGTCTAAAATCAGTCCACTGCAAAAGTATCTTAACTGTTATTAGATTATTTTTCTCTTAAAGAATAAAAAAAGAGAAATATTTAGGAACTATATTGTCTGGCTTTATTTTCTCATCAGTGATCACTTGTGCTGTAAATCTAAAACACCAGTAATCGTCATGTTATTGATAATGATAAAAAGTGCACCGTGCTTCATAAATGTGACATTAAACAGAGTTGCATCCAAAACAGACTTGATGGCATATTTAAACAGTTTCCAGTCAATGCAACACCTGGATTAGAGAAGCAAAGATTAAATAAGTGTCTATAACAGGATTTGTATGACTTCAGCATAACAGTATAAGATAATGAAAATATCTGTGTGGACACAGCAATCCTAAAGATCATAGATAAATTAAAACAAACACCCCATATTAATGAAACAGAGATCTAGTCACCCAGTAATTTCTAAACGTATGTAAATTTATAAATCTCAAGTTGTGTCAGACCCACCGACGCCATGGGATAGATGGGTACGTAGGCTGTGCAGGGCTGCAGCTGCAGGGGGTATCCCGGGTGGATGTATCCAACAGGAGGATGCGGCATGGTGCCGCCAGGGGCTTGGGTCTGAACCGTGTAGCCCTGTGTTGTCCCAGGGGGCCCAAATGGGCCACAGTGGAACTGTGTTTCTTGTAAGTATCCTTCAGAGCCCTGAGGAGGCGGTGGAGCCGGATAACCGGGCTGGGCGCCTGGAGCGGCGGCCATGTTGGGATGCTGCTGCATGTTGGGATCCTGAGGACCTGGGAGGTATGGGGGCGGCTGCATGGTCTGACGGCCAGAGTCGTCGATTCCTGAGAGGAGGAGAGATCACATAATCAGAAGAACAACATCAACACAATATAAGGGGCTTGAAAACAGCACATCCTATCTCAATTCTGTTATTTTCCACTTCAAGGAACATTTTCAAAGCCTGAGAGCCTCCACTCGAATTCATCTCTGCATTAATGATGACAGCGATTGACATTCAAACACCTCAGACAGAAGATGATGAAACAAATACCCCTTTCCTCTTTGTTTATCATCAGTCAGAAATGTGGCATTTCAGCCGTGGAGAAACTCGTCTGCTTTTTCTCACCTATGAGTTTCTTCTGTGTTCGTTAGATGTGTAAAATAACTGATAGGGTGTTGTGTTCTGGCAGCTCAGAGGGGGAGCAGAGATAATACTCCCTGACAGGGACATGGAGAAGAAAAAAAAGGGAGGAAAAACAGAGGTTGTTGTTGGCGGTACAGAAGACGAGCCAAGCAGCTGAGTGATGACGACTCACTCTTGCTCGGGGACCGTCCTTACGTAATGTTACAGAACTCGTCACAAGAAGGAAGCGGACCAGAAACAAACGAGGGGGTCACACCTAGATAAGGTTACAGCAGCTCGATGATGTCGAGAGAAATGTAGATGTCAGTGCTCATCTGTAACAGCAATCACAGAATTTTATTCCTGCGTCTCTCAGAATAAGAAGCGCTTCTCGTGAAGGAGAACAATGGACCAAACATTTATAACAAAATGTTATCCTTTTAGAAAAAAAAAATTCATTAATGAGGTTTATTTCCTGACTTATACTGCAAACCATCGCTCCAAGAAAACAAATATCTTTCAATCTCAAAGCCTTGTTAGACGACTTCTCTAAAATTATTCAAAGTCAGTCTTCAGACTTTATGAATAGTTAAGATTCTTTCTAAATGACGTTGGGAGCTTTTTCTGTGGCATCTCAAGGAGTTAGAATAGCAAGAAAAAGTTATTCATAGACTCCATACTTGTTCAAGCTTTCTTTCACATCCATTGCATCTGTATTGTAGACCCAATAGTGGCACCCATGAAAAATGTTACGTAATGCTTTTTCATCAAAGTCTATATTTTTGCTCAAAAAACACAACCAGTACCCTATGAAATGTGTACAACGGGTTTTGTTGCCAAGTCCTCCCTTTTATTTTTACTGGCATCCAGTTTCCAATATTTTCGTCGAAATTAATAGTTCTTTAAAATTCAAAACAACTGATGATTCTCATTGTCTGACACTGACTATGGAGGATCTCTGCTTATATCAGACATCAAAGACATTTTCCGAAGTAAAACTTCATTATTTCTGTTCTATACAAAATAATAGCATTATAAATGTCATGTCTGTAGCAGTTATAGCTTGAGCTAATAAAATCTAGCATCCTACAAAGTCTGGCAGCACATGAGTCATTGCTGAAAGTAGTTGCATTATGGTTTCTAATAATAGCTAATATTAAAGCAATATCTACAGAACTAGAAACACTCAGTACAGTATGTACTTCACATGATAACATTCTAAACTTGCCCATTTGGAGAAGCTCAAACCTTCCTTCAGACCCAAACCATATGTTTGTTTGCTTTTTTTACTTTTCTGAGATGCTTGAGGTCACAATAAATGGATAAATTCCAATCCTGGAAACCTAAGAACCTGAAGAAAATGTCAATTTTATTGATCCTGCCTGATATACCGATGCTATAATTAGGTTAAATGTCCCAGGTACATTTTGCAACCACCTAAAAGCTTCTGGCATAGTTATGTTTGCAATCAGAAATTATATAGGTTCTTCTACATAGTTGTCTTTCCCAGGTAGACCAACTGTTCTTCCAAGTATCTGCCAAATTAACACTCCCCTGGGGTAATAAAAAAAAAAAAAAATCCATAACAGATCCCCAGACGACATTGCCACCCCGCCACCACCCCTTTACAGGATAAAAATTACACAATGATAGCAACTATTAAACATCTCAATTTTAACAAAAAAGAAACATCTATTAGCAAATTAAACAAAACATTAACAAGAGCTGGAAAATGGAGGGTAGTGGTAATGCAAGCACTCCAAATGATCAAGACATGGTTCCTGAATGCAGAATTAATCTGCCAACACATGCCAATTTCTAGCAACACAAGAAAAAATATATATTGGCCAAAAATATTGTCCCTATCTCTAAACCTGACTTACAGCAAAACCAGCAGTTGATGCAGTAGTTCTACAGGGAATAATTGGTAAAGAAATCTATAGATTTCATCCTTTCCTGTGTTGTTTTATTCATAAAATCTAAGTGCTCTGACATGTGGAACACAAGCTTTAAAGAGAAACTTTATACGGTAAGTAGATGTGAATTGGGGAAAAACAAGAAAAAATAGAAATGGACACACTGAAGAGCTCTGATCATGTGCCTCATGTGACGTCAACAGCATGTGCACAAGGCAGCTTCTGTTTGGGGGGAGGTGATATATCGATTGAATAATGATTTTAAAAAAGACAGCAAAACAAATAGAGCAGCATACACTATTATGGTGCATTTTTCTATCAGAGACGAACTAAAGTGAATTTAATTGATTTTGCAGAAAAGTCTGGCGAACTGCTTAAAGCTGGCTACAGATATTTCTGATTCGGAGCTGAAAAATTCGGAGCTGAAAAGTTCCTTACAATATTGATATTATGTTATTTTGATAGATTTTTTAACAGACTGTGCTGCCTTCACAGTGATCCATTGGACAGCACAGACAAGTGGAGCTCAAAGAAGCAACCAAGAGGTCCACAGACTCTAGGAGAGGTGCAAAGATCCACAGCATGTGCACCACAAACCTTTCAAAAAGATGCTCTACATGCAAAGTGTTATGAATGCAGGAAAAACATTGTTTAACATCTCAAATTCACGGTCCTAATGGTGAAATATAGCAGTGGGGTTTCTTTTCTACAGTAGGGAATTGGTGGGGAAAAGGATAAAGTAAAATACAAGGCAATCCTTAAAGAACTATCCTGAAACTCAAAGCGTGGAGAGCTAGTCCTGCAAACTATTAGACATGCTATTTGCCCTGCACACCTGAATCAAAAGATTACACTACCTCAGTAACATGCAGTCAACCGATGCAGAGCGCTGCTAATGAGCTCCTATTGCAGTCAGGTGTGTTGAAGCAGAGTAACGGGTGGAAGATCAAATTCTAGCTCAGACCTAAATAAAATTGACTTAAAAAAAAAACACTGTTTAGTACATCACTGTCCTATGGATGAATCAAAAACAATTTTTTAAAATTCAGTACAAAATACAAATTTAACACATGCAAACATTATATAGAATTATTGATATATATAATCATGTTCTATGTATAATTTGTGCTTATATCTGACAAGAACAGGAATGTTCGAGCTTCTCTAAATGGGCAAATTCATAGCCTGTATTATTATTATGCAAAGTACCTACTATACTGAATGTTTTATATACTTAGTCTAAAGATGTAGCCCCTAAACACGTTCAACTGAAACTGCAGTGAAAAGTGGTTCTTATTCAAATGGGGCTGAATACAAATCACATTTTTTGATTTGAATTGTAATAAAAAGAAAAAATAAATGATTTCCCTCCAGTATTGCAGTCCTTTGTGTAAGGCTGCAGTGTTTAATGCCTCATCCTATGGTACAAGAATGATTAACCTTTTAAATCCAAACAATTTAGAGAGCAGTTTAACCTTTTAATCATGATTTTGGCTGCAGGGGGAAGCTGGAGTATCCAGAAAGTACATTACATGAAGGAGCCAAGGCCGCTCAATGTTCAACCCTGTTTGTGGTCCATTGGTGACAGAATGGGAAGAGGTTACAGGAAGGTTAGGAGGGGGTACATTGCATACTTCTATATTTTCCTCAGATATGCATCTTCTACCTGGTGTTGCTGCTGGATTGCTTTAGTTATTTTATTACATGGCTGCTGCTGTTCATCCTTTGTTTAAAGCTGCAGCCTCATCCACTGTATGATCTCAGAACTGTATCAATTTTCTTTCTTAACCCAGCTCCATTTCAACCAGAGTTTTACATTTAAATATTATTAAAGAAATACAGGGCTGCAGAGATGCATCTATTACAGTTTTTTAATTATTATTATTTTATTAATTCGTGAATATTTCATAGAGAAAGAAGCAAGTAAAAACGCGCAGAGGACACCCACATGATCATCAAACTGTGCGTAAGCAGGTGCGAAATTATGAGGAGAAATTAGAGAATAGAGCAAACCGAGATTGCATTTATTCCAACGCCACATTATGAGCGGTTTGTAAAAACAAGTGAGCTGAAAGATGTCGCTGGGGTGGGAATAAACCGAAGGCATCCTGATGGGGGCACTTTTAACAGTGATAATTGGAGGCCCTGCGGTGATTTTCTACCCCTCATGCTGCACCCACACAGCGGCGCATCCTCCTGCTGGATGCGGCGCACTGCGCGCACAATCCGGGCAAACCTCACAAACAAATGCGGCTCAGTCTTACCGTGTTTTTCCGACGACATGCCTCCAGATGTAATAAATGGCTCCTTTAAGTCCGATGTGTTTTACTCCAGCTGCTGGTAAACGCTAAAAAAAAAAAAAAAAAAAAGCCCCCCCACCTCCTTTCGATGATTTAGACTTATTTCTCCAAACGCGTTAAACCCATCTTCAGGATATCTTCATCCTAAAAAGACCTGGTTTTAAATAAACTTGAGGTTTCTAGTGTTTTTTTTTTTATTATTATTATTTTAAAGGATTTTTCATCCACAGCGCTCAGGATGCTTCTCTGGCTCCGTGTGACTGCTGCTCCGATAAGGTTTCAATTAATGAAACAAAACTACCCTCGTCTTAAAGCGACAGTCCAGATTGTGTGCTGGAACAGATCCAGGCCAGAGCACAAGTGATTAAAGAGCTGCACTTTGCAGTGGCGGTTCTAGATTAGATGTACAAAGGGGCCACGGTGGGGGGCCAGAGTTTCTTTATTGGACATAGAACAAAAGAATTACAAACACACACAAAAAAATAAAAAAACAGGGTAAACCCTTCATTTAATACAGTGGAATCCGTTTATAGTAACCCTATAAGCAGATTGATTACTATATCCAAATTTACCATTATTTTAGGTATTTTACATGCAGAATATCATCTAAACGCTATTTCTATGGTTTTTCAACGAGAAAAATGAAATGAAACAGATAGCTTACACATTTACTGAATTTTTCTACAGTACCATCAAAGTTTAATTACAGTATACTGCACTGTATGCAGACATAACTCTGGTAGCCTGGTGCCACTGTTGTATTTATTTATTTTTTTTAATTAGTCTGAAGTTTGAAACAAACGGTTTCATAGAACATGTAACTGCATAGTCTACAGAAAATTAAAGCCATTTTGTGTTACGGATTTGCTGCACAGCAATAAGAAATCACTTCACAAACTTATCCGTGGTTCCCTGGATCAGAGTGTTGTCCAACTTCCTTTTCAAAATGATGTAAAAGGTCAAAGCTTTTTAAACCAACATGCAGGAGACCAGTCTTTAAAATGCAAACTGTATTCCTCATCCCATCTCTGGAAGGGACAACAGTCTCCTTCCCCTCCTCGCTGCTTGCAGCACTGGTACCCGCACCAAAGCGCCCTTGTAGCTCCGTGATGTCCTCATCCGTCATGGGCTCTGACCCCGGAGTGCTGTCATGACTTTCGATCCACTTATTATTTTTGCACATTTACATTCATAAAATGGCCAAAAATGAACACTATAAGCGGAACTCTTGATTACTATAAACAAATTATTTAAACAGCATTTATATAGAAATGATTCTGTCCAAAGCCTGTTGAACACTAAGCGGTTGATTACTATATCCGTGACCACTATAAGCAGATTCCACTGTGTATATAAAGGTATAGTAGAGGCTGTCCTTTTTATCCAGTTGGATCATCAAAATAAGTGGTCCTCCTAATTGTCAATCATTATGTAAGGCCCTCCTACAGAGTGGGAAATTGCAAATCTTCTTACTACTATACCTTTAAGTCAGGGGTGTCAATCCAACTCCTGTCATCTCATCAAGTAAATCCAATCTGAACATGATGACTTGATGAGATGAATGGAGTCTGGTTTGCTATTGTTTTCTTGGAAAAAAAAAAAAACCTGCAGCCACAGCCGTTTCTGGAACCGGTTTGAGACCCCTGCTTTAAGTGAATCACAAAACCAAGGTTTCAGAAAACTGATCTAACCGTTAAAAACTGGGATCCTATCTTGGTACAATTTAGGCTTAAAGCTAAATGCAATTTGAAAATAATTGCTAAAGTTAATTGTAAAGGCAAAATATAAACATTGATAAGAGGGACAAATCAATTGTTTCTTCTGTCATCATAATACATTATTTTAGTCTTAAGCTACTAGAACTTATTTAAAAAATTAAATATTCTTAAAATAAGTGTATTTGCCCTTACTTCGAGCAGGTTATCACGACAATCTGCCAAAGGAATGAGTATTTTTGCTCTAAAGAATCGGATAAATATTATGCATTTGAAATAATTAATAGGGTTGTTTTTTTTTTATCATTTTAAACAAATAATTTTATTCGATTGGAAAATTGTCTAACTAAGCCACTCAAATCAAGGAAAATAGATTTATTAAGAATACCTTTCATTTTACCATAGAGATTAAAATTTACTGAGAAATTGACTTTGGATCTTTAACCATCTAGACATGATTTTCAAAGTTAGCCACCATAAATTATTAAAACACATTTACTGAACTAATATACACGTGTAAGTAATCAACCTTGGACAAAATTAATAGCGATAATAGATGAGGGGTCACCAACTCAGATTCTGTTTAAGATGCTGTATAATCCAAGAGAGGAATTCTTTGACAAGTATGATTGATTTATTTTCTCAGTACTTCAGTTTTATCTCTAAACCACCTTTTTGTTTGTTTTTAAAGGATCACAGATTAAAAACAGTTACTTAATTTGAAAGAAAAATCATAACAGTTTTGGAACACATATTTTATTTCTGTACAATAAATTACAATCCAAACAACACATCCTTTTCCTCAAAATATTTGGTCTGCTCAAATCTCTTCATCCTGGTCAAGTATATTGATGTAAACATAAGCTTTCTTTTTTGTTTTTTTAGGCACATAGATCTCCAGACATTTTCCACCTCCTCCTACATGCAGCAGCCACACGTTTGGCTTCTCTTTCACACTAAAACTCAGCGTCCTCCCTCTAGGTTTATGGGCTCTCAGTGAGTGTAGAGGGAGGCAGTGAAGACGATGTCCCTGCGGATGGCCAACGAGGCCCTCTCCATCTTGCTCCCCAGGACGGAGTCTCCCACGATGCGGGCGGCTTGTCGCACCTCCTTTAGCACCTCATCCAGGCGCTGGATGCAGCGGACCACAGTGCCCTCCTGGACGTCTGTGAGTAGCGCAATCTCAGCAAAAGGCTGCAGAGATGGAGGGACTTAGGTTATTTCTGTGACGATCTTTCTTATCTAATGAAAGGGTTACCAACAGTGTAATTCCAATATTGATAGAAACAATATGAAATCATAACACAGGCTGCCTAGAAAACCCCAAATAGATGCCTGTACATCAAGGGTGTAACTTTGTAATGAAAGTTGGTGGGGACACTCGGGTGGTGGCTGATGGACCTACAATTACTTGACCCGAACGCTTTCATTAGGTGTTTGCATTTTCCAAAAATGAGTTGAAACATATATTTATTGAATGCTTTACTATTGTTAACACAAGAGAACCATAACAAACTGTTATTTATACTTATAGTTAGACAGATACCTTTTAAATGAGAAAACAACAGATATGTATTAATTTTAACCTGTAACTGTGAGTCATGATTCTCTAAAAAGGCCAGCTTTTTTTAACGAATAAAGGACACATTTAAACTATGTTTTCTCAAGCTTCTTGCATAATAATACTAACTTGTATAAACTTACAATCTGTTGCAATTTTTAACTGAAAAAGCTTTGTATGTCTAACAAACTGATTTTTTGGTGGCATCTCAAATTACCCGTCTCCTCACTTTTTAATAAACATCTATCGAAGTAGCTGCTGGTTAATATTCACTGAGTGTTGCTGTGTGTCTCTCCTCCAACCTAGCTACTCCGTACACAGTGAAATGCGACCGCAAATCAGATGTCTCAAACGGACAGATCCGATTATGTTACACCGAGAGGCGGGACACAGGAGCAGTGCTAGAGTAAAAAAAAAAAAAAAAAAAAAAAAAACGGACTCAAAACACTCAGAACACCAAGCATCTGTTACCTTTGGCTAAAGTAAATAAATGGAAAAAGCAGAAATTATTGGTGGGAATATGTCCACACCAGTCCTTCATAAAGATATGCCTGTGCTGTACATACTTCTGAAAATGATTTTGTCTTATCTATGATACTCTTCAAATATAAAATCAAAAAAAAAATTTGTTAATACAAATCAATTTTAATTCAGACTTACAAGCTCAACAAACGAAATGCAAATTTAACCAGGTGGTTTTCTCCTCCTCGTATTTCTAGGTCCAGTTTCTGTCACTGACTCCTTTATTTAACTTTTAGGCGTTTAGGAAGACAAGCACAACTAAGCCTACATTCACAAATCACTACTAGAAAAGAGCAAAACAATTACCTAACTCTAAAAATACAGACTAAAGGTTCCCAGTCACATCTGAGATGTCCTATTTTGGAGAAACCCTTATTACCACTATAGGAAATGCTTTACAAGTTTTTTATTTTCTAATCATCTGTTATCAGCTCAGCAAAAACTAATTCAATCATTTAACACATCCCATAATATCACATGATGGCTTCCTGTTTGGGACAAGCTTGCACTCTGCTGTTACTTAAAGGCTGCATACCGCTCACAACTCTTCACCTCTGACTTAGTTGAAATTCCAATTTGCAGGAACCCACCACTGTTTTTCTTTGATGTATTTTTTATATATAATGAGGAGTACATTTGGTTAAAATGGGCTTAGCCTTACCATGCCTCTGGCCCAGCAGTACACCACCTCAGTCAAGCCGAACTTGAACTGGCCTACAAACTCCTCGGCGGTCTGCACTATCCCACATTCGCGCTGCAGCTGCCCGATTCGCTGGGCCACAGACAGCACACGATCGATGCCCTGAAAGCAGGAAAAGACACAAGTGGGTAAAACCTGTCAGACTCACCTACAACTCCATAAATGTCAGCAGGAAAGTGAAATCTTCCAGAAAATCTGTTCCACAAACTGCATTTTTGTACCAACGGTGACAAGACTCATCACTAATTTAAGCTCTGGTAAAGCTCTTTCATGTCCAGGATGTTCCCTGACACACTTCGACACAGCAAGTGATTTAATATGCGACCCGGTGAATGGTCTGAGTCAGGAGACGTGGCCTCTCTGTCCTTTCTGCAGGATGTAATGCATCAGAGCAACACAGCCTTCCACAATATTAGTCACTGTGGAATCTCTGCAACATGTCCTTTTAATATCTACACTCCTCATGACATGCAGGCAGCAGTGTCCCCCTCATTCTCACCTCCTTTAGTGTGTTGGTGATATGCGGCTCCATCTGCGTGTTCTGGGTGAACACCAGGCAGGACAACAGGGCGGCGCTCTCTTCAGGCGCCAGTGGGCTCAGGACGTTCTCGAACAGCAGCTCAGTCAGCAGCAGCTCATGGCTACTGATCTGACAGGCCACTCGGCCTTTCAGCTGCACCGCCCCGCTGCTGTCGATGTACTGCAGCGACTGGAGGACCTGAGGGACACAGAGCAGGGAGTTGAATGAACCTGTATGGCTTTTACAGGACGGCACACAGCCTCTTCAAATCCTGGAAGCCTTTC